CTCGTCGCCAAAACCAAGAAATCACCGCCGCCGTTGAAAATGTTCCGCGTACTCGATATGTACACGGCAATTTCAGAATACTGGCAAGATATTGAAACGATCTTCTCTTTTGAATCAACCTCCGCCATCCGATCACAAGCTCTCAACTCGCTCATTCGACTCAGTGAGTCAGTTCGCTCGTTGCTTGCGGGTATTGAATCCTCCATTCAAAAGGACTCGTCAAAAGTACTGGTTCCTGGTGGCGGCGTGCATCCTCTGACACTCAACTCCATGGATTCTCTCACTCTCCTCGCTGATTACAGTAACGTCCTGACCGACATTTTTATGGATTGGCCACGACCGGCGAAGTCTTCATTACCTGAATCAGAATTTGATAGTCCAGAATCTGATGATTCTGCAGAGTCGCCGATCTCCCTGCGCATAGCGTGGTTAATACTTGTCCTTCTCTGCAAGCTCGATGGAAAAGCAAAGTACTACAAGAGCGCATCTATGTCATATCTGTTCTTAGCAAACAATCTCCAGCACGTAATCTCCAGAGTCCGTACCTCAAATCTCCAATACATGCTCGGCGAGGAGTGGATTACGAAGCACAACGCCAAAGTGAGGAAGTTTGCCGCAAATTACGAGCGGTTAGCATGGGGACAAGTGTTCGCATCTTTACCGGAGAATCCGACTGCCGTGATTTCACCAGGAGAGGCCAAGGAGTACTTCAGGAAATTCAATTCGAGTTTTGAAGAAGCGTATTGGAAACAGAAATCGTGTGTCGTACCGGACCAGAAGCTCGGAGACGATATAAAGGTTTCGATCGAGGGGAAGCTAGTGCCGGTGTACCGGGAGTTCTATAACACGCACAGGTTAACGGCTGGAGGAGAGAGGAATGCGATGCTTTTTGTCAGATTTGGCCCTGATGACGTGGGAAATCATTTATCAAATTTGTTCGGAGCGGGTAATTCAAAAAGTTGATCAGCCTCAGCTTCGACGTCGTCTCGTCGACGCGGCCTCCACGATCTCCGTTGAGGACTTGAGAATTGAGATTACTGTGTATATTTTTTTATAAAAAATAATTTAAAGACGAAACTTTTTTTTATACAACTATAAATATTATTTAAATAATTAGATTTTTTTATTTAAAATTAATAATATTAAGAATATTTATTTATTAATAATACATAAAACTTATAAAAATATAAAAATCAAAACATCTTAATTTTTTAAATTCTTTAAAATTTATATAAAAAATTATCTTTATATCATTATTTTTTTTCATTCAAACGTCCTCACCTCCTTAATTGACTGTTTTATCTCCGTATTTAATGAATCAGAACAGAGCTCATTAAATGATAAACGAAAAAGTTCAGAAGGGCGAAAAAAGGAAGAAAAGATATGCGGTCAAAAAGAGAGTTAGTGTTGATTTTTTCTCCAGTACCTAAAGAGATAAAGTTCAAAAAAAGAGAGTACAGTTGGAGCTGGATCAAACCGTACAGTACTTAAAGTTCAATAAGGGATGAATTTTTAATATTAAATTTTTTTAATACTTTTTATTTTTAATTTAATGAATATAAATTATAAAATAAAAAACTTAAAATTTTAAATTTTAATTAATATATTTTATATAATTAATTTATATAAAAAGTGTAATGTTAATTTAAAAAAAAAAATTTTTTTGAACAGCATGAAATCTTTTTTTCTTCGGGGAATGAGGAATGGGAGACTTGAGATTTGATTCCAAGTCCTTATAGTCCTACGCACGTCCTTTGCAAGGAGTGGCCATTTGACCACCGAGTGTGGGATTATTTTAATTAATTAAAATAATTTATATATCATAATATTTAATTAACATTTATTTTTATAAATTTTTATATAAATCAATTATAAAATAATATATTTATTTATTATACTTCAAAATACAAGGTGGGTAAATTTTTTCTTTTTAAAGATAAAAGAGTTGATCAATATCTAGTTCCATGTATATGTCCATAAACTACTACAGTTGTAATTAATGTCTTCGATTGGTGATTCAATTAAATCCGAATCTTCTTCGGTCAAATAAGAAAAGATTTAGAGCTTTGCGGAGAGCTTGTAATTGTTTTTTTTTTACGAGAGAAAATAACAATATTATGTTAGATTGTTAGTATTTATTCGATAATAATCAGGTATAGAACTCAACTCGTGGATCTGAAATGCGTTTTACCTACTTCACACTTTGATGAAACGTTGTCGCCACGGCAGCCACACGGAAATGCGGAGAGCTTGTAATTGTTGTTTGAGGGCCAAAAGAGTCGTCTTTCATCACTGCACTGGTGATCTACAGTACACACCGTAATTTATTTATTTATTGTTAAAGTATTTTTAAATTAATATTTTATGC